TGACTATTTTAAAATTTATTTATTTAATAGAAGTATTATACTATGTAAATGATTATACGATTTACTGTAGTTTTTTGGACTGGGATAAAAATTCGTTTCCCAGACAACCTTTTGCGCACCTGAAATCTAATACTAGTCAGGAACACTTATTCGAAAAACTACTATTAAAATCTAACTCTCTTGGTGTTAACGACTTGCACTAATAACTTGATAATATATAGTTGTTATAAATAAATATATAAATAAATATTTACAATATAATTGTATATAGTTCAGAGCTTCAGGTTCATAATAAACATTTAGTTACACTATTTAGGCCCCTCTAGGAGAACGAAAACAATTTAAGACCAAATTAAAAACGTTTTTGTCGAAATACTCTATTCTGTGACTTCTCATTCAATTTTTATACTGAACATCTAAAAATAATATTGTTGAAAAATAGTACTTACATATAAAGTATATAGTTGGTATTAATTTTTATAATAATTTCATTTTTTAATTCTTTATAATAAAATCATTTGATATTTAAAAAATATAATATAAAAATATATAAAAATATTGATTCATTATTATAATTTTAGCCAGTAGTTTATCGTAGAAACTAATGTTATAATGGTATTCATAGTGTACCAATAGTATTAATACTGTAGATTATTAAAATACACCAGTTTACATGATGTCGATGTGTTAGGTGGCTACTGGCTACGTCCAACAGCGAGTAAATTGCCATGTCCGGTTTGTAATTTATATAAACTATAAAAACTTTAATGTTACTTCAAGTTTTCTTAAATAATAAGTAAAAATTATAATTAATGAACAGTTTAGAGGAATAAAAAAAAAAAAAAACAATGTGCACATTACTCAGACTAAACTTACTTAAATACATTACTTAAACCAAATTTTATAAGTTTATGGTCTAGGACAGAGGTGGCTAACCTTTTTCTTTACTGTGCCAAATAAAAAATAAAAATTGAGAATGTGCCATAAAAAATGAATACATATTATTTACTTTACAATAATATAATAAAATATTTATTTCTTTACATAAATTTAAAATTTAGATTATTTTTATACTATTTTTATGACAATTGGGACAAAATTGATTTTTTTTTTTTTTTAATGAGAATATTGAGATTGTTTCATATCCATTATCTCTTCGTAGTTTATTATGAGTGAACGTGGCCAAAAAAATTAATATATAAAAACTATCTTTACACATTTGAAAAATAATGGAAAAGAGAATAAAATAATATGAAAATGTGAACAATACTACAAAAATGCAGAGGACGCATACATACTGTCAGAAATTAAGTTATCAGACAACAAACATCTTATACTCATTTACTTGATGCAGGTAAAATCGAATGTTCAAAGATGGTAAATAATATTAAAACGATAGAAGTAAACAATTATGATATGGGAAACAATGCTTTTATTGCTTCAGCGTCAGAATCAGTCTTAGTTGCAGCATCAGAACAATTACTAAACATATCGGTTTTAAAAAGAACTATTTGCATGCAAATAAATTAAGCCTGCAGGCTTAAGAACAGGGAAACTGGATTACCTCCAAAATCCTAAATCTTGATCTGATTTACAAATTTGTGAACTCTACCAACTGACTTCCAACAGAAAACCATTTTTATTGCATGACAGTGGACCAGGAGATAGACGTATATTAATATTTTCATAGAACTTAGATCTCATGACAAATTGTGAATGTTGGTTTGCTGATGGAACGTTTTCCACTAGTTATAATGTATTTACACAAATATACATAATTCATGGAGTGCAATACAATTTCATTATTTGCGTTACTACTGGATAAAAATGAAAACAATTATAATCGCTTATTTAAAACTCTTAAAAACCTAAAATATGGACTTCGACCAAACACAGAAACCAGAGGACGTTTTTCATTTTCCCAAGTAGTATGGAGACATGTGCAAAGTTGTGGACTTCAAGCAAAGTACTCAGAAGTTCAGAATTTTCTTTACATGTTCATATGATATCGTAATATTACGAATTGTTATTGTATTGTAACATATTCTCATATCGGAATAACAATTGGAAAATTCCACTGCGATGGTAATAATCTAATTTAATAATACGTTACATAATTATTTAACATTATTTATGTTATTTTGACACAAATGTTGTATAGTATAATACTGATGACTGATGATTTACTTAAAATTGGATTTTATAATTTTAGAAATATTTAAAAATTATATGTTATTTTATCTGACGCTATAGTGTGCCATTCAATAACGTAAAATGGGCCACAAAAGAGCATGCGTGCCTCAGGTAGGCCACCCCTGGTCTAGAAGATACTTCGTTTAGTGGAACTAAATTAATGTTTTTTGAATACTAAATATAATTGACTTAGTTTATAAATTTAAATAGGCTCCCTAAAATTAAAATACAGAATTGATACGAAAAATATGTAAATTTAATCATATTATAAGACAAGCATTGAAATTCAGTGATCTAGTTAAGTTAGTGATACGAAGAAAATCAATACCAATATTTTCTACATTCAGATAACAACCATTAATAATCTTGTTAATAATTACACCAGTAAGAATGCGAAATAGAAAACATATTATAATTAAAATATATAGATTAAAAGTTTAACGTAATAATAATAACTTGGCACATAAAAATACAGCTAAATACAAAGTAGATACCTTATTGAGTATACTTTATAGAAGAGGTTCAATAGTTATAATAAGTTGCTAAGTTATTGTTATGAGTAATTTATGTTTTATTTTTAATCTGCCAAATCTATTAATACGGTTTTATTCAATCACTACATTTCTGAAAAAGACTTCAAAACTCGGGGTAATCATGCAACATAATTATATACTCATACACGATGAAGTCATTTCATAGAATAAAACTACATGAGTCACTGGCAAATTCATAAAAAAAACCACAGTCAACAATCATATAAAAATCAACTCTCATTGCTCTTTACACTTCATTCTCATAACAACATAAATACAATTATGATTTTTTACTGATTAAAATGTGTATAATTCCTAATAAAATCTTTAGAAAAATGAGTTAATTTGCACAAGATTCGATTACGATTTACAAAACATTAGTAACTTGTATTTTAACAGATTGTAGTCCCACAGTCTTATCTTGAAATATAAAGTGTACATCGATCAGTAATAAAACATTTCATAGAATGAATATGGTCAAATAACAGTCGAGTAACAATCTTATCGAAATACAGATATCGAATCGCATAAAAACATAGCGTCATGTGTACATAATACCATTGATTATAAATATTTAAGTCTTTATAATAAAAGATAATACCATTATAAATTCAAGAGCATTACTAAGAGCGAATAGATTACAAAACGATCGTTTGATATGTAAATAAAAAATACACACCTGAATTGAATGAAACAAGTGAATTGAACAAGTGTATAAAATATATTGAAAGTTCTACATGATGAGAAGATTCATGTCACGTCACATAGCGCATTCATGATTAGCAATTTAATAATCTATATGCACTAAAACTCCATGTGTGTATAAATAATTAACATGACATATCGAGTATATAATAATGCTAATATATATAAAAACATTTTTAGAGTATGAAAAAGCATACTTCAAGGTTAAAGAATTTCTTGTGCAAAATAATGTTTTAGAAATATACTGCAATACTGAGGTTTAATTTGAAAATTTTATAAAAAATGTAATAATATATAAATAAATGCAAAAATGTTTTTAACCTACGTCAGTCTCTTTTCTTTTCAAGACAAAACGTGCAAAGCAATATTGATAAGAGCATAAAACTGATAAGAAAATCAATTATTTTTTGATTATAAATGAGATTTAAAAAATAAAACTTTACTGATATCCATGAACCTTATATACTACGAATTAAGATGGATCTTAATTCGTGCCTAATACCAATACACAAACCTTTTGTACACGTATAACGGTTATAGATAAAGGGCGCTTTTCATGTGTGACTTTCATGTGTGATTATCGTAATATCGTAGTGCATATATCATTGCTCCAATACGGATACATGTTTAAACATGTAAGTGATCGGTCGAGTGTAATAATAGGTACTATTTTTGGTACTTACATGCAGTTAGTTTTTAATATTATTATATAAAATATTTTATTTATACTGTGCAATTATGTGTTACAATTAGACTTTTAAAATATAAATATCAATATATACTAGTAGTATATCACCATAGTATTTAAATATGATTGAATATTTTTTTATAGAATAGAATTAATTTAAATACATAATCATTCCTTTAATAAAAGAAATATTTACGAGAAAATTTATCGTATAATATTTTTATGAACTGTTACTTTTATTTGTTTTTTAGTATTTAATACATTTTTATGAAATATCATATATTTCCAAAAAAATAATATTTATGCACATAACAGATTATTTTGATGAAATTATAAAGCATAAGAACATCTTATTTTATGATTTTAACATACAATGAATAATTAGCTAGTATGTAGAAACGGAGGTATACAAACAATCTACGTATTATGCAAGATATTTTTGATATTACGAAAAACAGAGATGTTAATTATTTTTTTTTATATTTTTGTTTATACTCTTTCTAATACCCATATTTGTTATCAACTGGAGGTTGCTATGTGTACGATACGATAGGGTCGAGTAGATCGTGAAGGGTGACATTGTTCGCCGACCAAAAAAAAGTGAAAAGAGTAGGGTGCCGGTGTGGACTACAAGAGTGCCCTTGAAGGTTCCTCGGGAAAACCGAATCCCCGGTGAGTAAATAGGTACCAGGAATGTTGCACCTGAAATCGGGTTTCGAACACGGTACATTCGTCGGTCGTCGTCGTGAGGTTACATGGGGAATATTAAGGGGAAGTGGGGAGGGGGGAGGAGGGTGTACACAACAACTGCAATATTATACGAACACGGTATACGTATTTATAGATTGATGGATTCGTGAGCGATCATCGTGCGTACTCACTGGGGTCGGAGGGCAGCAGCTTCATTTTGTCGAGGTCGATCGCTTCGCGGTCGTTATACACGATCACGGCCGAGGCGCCGGCCTGGCGCGCGTTGTCTACCTTCCTCTGGAAGCTGCACTTGCCCCGGCGCACCAACGCTATCCACGGGCCGGGCACCGTGGGCTCGTGTTCACCGTGCACTGGTGCCTCGCAACCATTCCGGTCGCCGTCCGTGCCGATCACGTGTAACAGCACCCCGGACGCGGTGCCCACGTGAAACTCGCCGAACTTGCCGATCTCCGACTTCTCCGACTGCACCACGGAGCCGGTGGACACGTCATAGCTGGTCACGTTCAGATACGCCGTGGTGTACGAGTCGACAGCCTCGTCTATGGTGGCCGCGACAGCGGACCACGGGTTCGACGACGCGATGACGCCGAGCAACGTCCAGACGGCCAGGGTGGTCACGTGCATGGTGAACCACCGGGCGACAGTGTCCGCCGTTGTACCCGGTGGGGGAGGAGTACCGATTCGGGGTCGTTGTCGCTTGCGAGAGGAACGTTTGCGGCGATGTGTGATCTCGGATTTTACTCCCAACGGTAGCGAGCAATCTACAACTGTCGTGACGTCCGAACAATGTACGACCGCGGTGCGGGGCAAAAAACACTTAGGGGACGGGGAAGAAAAAAAAATATAAATAAAATATCCGTACGGTCGACCGGAACTACTACATCGCCGCGGATACGCGGCGGTAATATCGAGTGGTCGTCGCTTGACCGATCGATCGAACCGGCGAGAGAATGTAACACGAACAGTTTCCACACAGCGGACCGACAAATCTTCTGCACTACGTAACTGCGAGCATTCCGCGACCTCGTAAAAGCTGGTCGGCGGTGCCACGGTTAGGTCTACACGTCTGCAGGCTAGCGGCAAAGCGATTAGATCGCGGTGGACGGACACAAGAGGTATGCGGAATACGAACACACGACTGACTGGCCGGACTACGTGACGACGATAAGCGAAAAATCGTAAAACGTTCGTTCTTCCACCTTCGGACACTGAACACGAACAGACGATCCGCACAACGTGTGTCTCGCACACTACTGACGTTCAGTTATCGGCTGGGCCCCTCTATACGCGCTGATACAACGCGGACGTAGTGACGCCACGGAGACCCCGTTATTGCAGCGCATGGCGGCGGCGGTGGCGGCGGTGGCGGCGGTGGCGACCTATACAGTAATAAAGTTCACAATAACAATAACAAACCAATGTCGCCAACCGGAGCAGCGTCAAAATACCGCGCACGCTACGTGACCGTACAGCTGTTTGTGATTATTATACATTCGTCTCCCCGTATACAATTTAATTGTAAACGTATTTTTTTTATTTATTTTTTTTGTAATATCAACTTATTGTTTTATCGTATTGCAATCGTACTGGACTCTATGCGTGATAAAACAAGTCCCAGGCACCAATCTAAATGTACTTATTGACTATTATTCACCGTGCAGGGCTTACAATTTACAATACTCATACCACACACTAAATTTAAAATAAATGTTTCAATCCCATGATATTACCTGCAGTTAAAGACGAGCATAAGTATACTTTTTGAAAGTCAATTTAAATGTAGGTATCGTAGAAATATGTTATTTTTTTATACTAAGTATAAGACAATTCTGCGATATTTATTTATGTATCAAACTGATTTTGTCACTTTTTTAAATAAGTTCTTATAACATACATTCAAGTTTCTTAATACTAACTTTTTGTGCCCCACTATAACTGCGTTTTAGCACACACAATTTTATACTTGCTATGCTAATCACTAACAAACAACCCGGTCTACCTACATCACTTTTCATTGTGACATCACTTTTTGCAGCCATCAATTGCACGAAGCCTAAAAACTAATCGTGAACTAAAACTATGCAGCCCGTGATACGAAAACTGGCCCCAGAGATCAACCTGCTATAAACCGGTCGTTAATCATTGGTTCTCAAACTATACCGCGCTACTGGAAAGTTAACACATTAAGCACACGGCATGTGTTTTTTATGTCACTCGGTCCCTTATTTAATTTAACAATTTAAATACTCATCTAAAACTAATAATTTGTTTCAGTTGGACAACTGGAATGCATTGTAGATGGATCGTAACACTTGTATGGTCACCATTTATTAGAAAATGCCGCTAGAGTCGCGCCGGTCACCGGCCATAGTAATTATACTAATAAAATCCAACAAACTATAGCAGTATTCATATTGTTGTTTTCTAATTTTAAGTATATTGCCCATTATACATTGATATACCTAAAAAAAAAACTATTTCAAAATATTTTATATATTGAATTAAATGTAACTCAAAATCGTTTATTTTAAATGTTAGACCATTAAATATCATAAATCAACGGAAATATTTTAATTTTCGATTTACAGAAAAAAAGCCAAATTGCATCATGATCTGTACATTTTAAAATAAAATGAATTAATTTTATATCTATCAATTAATAATATAATATAATATTTTTTTTATAAACAAAACAAAAAATGTGATTTAAATAACATTAAAAAAAATACCACCTCGGAAAATATTTCTCTTAGGATAATTTTATTCTTACAGTACTACAGCCATTTATTTTCTTATATCATCTATAATATATATTTTATTCAAAATGTTCAATACATTTTCATTTATAGTTATGAATTATTAATAAATTATTGTTATTTTGTAATACGAGTATAATCACTATAGACACAGAATATATTTAAATTTTATTACAGAATATATTTTGAGAAATAAATTGAACTGAGTAATAATATATGACTTCGGTTCCGCTATGTATTATTATGAATTAGATACAACCATGTATGCTGTATAATTACTTAAATATCATAAATTCAAATAATGATTATGTCGATCACAATAACAAATTTAAAGAGCAAAAAAATGATTATTCAGGTTTGTATGCTAATACAACTATGTTATAACAATTAATAAATAATTTCATAAAATCATGTAGTAAAAATACACACAAAATTAGTTATATATAATTGCATAAGTAGACAAACTTTAAGCTACGCATTAAAGGATTTTTGGAATTGGAAATATTCTGCATAATATAAAAATAGGTTGATAATAATAAGTAGTAGTAACTAGTAAGAAATAATAATCATACTTATGTAAATTTAATTATTAATAAAATCAACAATTAATTAACACAACATTATAACTTAAAAAACATAAATCAGGATATATCTTCAACCAATGACGCATCATCGTTTTATTTAGTACATGTTCTATCACTTTTATCGGATGGTAGATTTCTCACTATACATTGATAAGAGTTAATTTAATTTAATTATATTTTTTTCAAACACCAATATCTCTAATCTAATTTAAACAAGCAATTAAATTGGTTTTAATCATACTATTCAATGTTCATAACAAATATTCTATAAATATAGTCTATATTAAATATGTAAGTGGTATTTTATTATTATTATTATTATTACTACTTATTTTATGGTCTACGGTTTAAAATATATTTTAATATATATATATATATAATATAATATAATATTTTAATATATTATTATATATTAAAAATAATATTAATATTAATAAAATTTTATTTTTGTATTTTTTACAATAATGCTATAATATAAATCTAAAAAAAACTTGTTAAAGGTTATACCCTATACTAAGGGCGTAACTCGTTGTTTATATTTTTTCGTGAAATTATAACTGGGTTGTAATGTAGAATTCAAATTAGATACCCAGGTAAGTCTTTTTTCAGAAAAAAAGTACAAATTAAATTATATATCGGTATATAATGGAGTAACTAATATATATATACTGTTTAATAATTTTAAATTAATTAACCTTATAGTTTAACTAATATTATATTTACATTATTTCTATTTATCAATAGAGATTTTTTATATTATACAAAATTAAATCAATAATACGTGTTGTGTGTAATTTATAGTGTATAATTTGTATATATTAAGCATTTAAAAAACCCGTCATCATTTTTATAAAAGTAAAAATTACATTTAAATTTATTCATTGAAATTATTTTCCATTATTGACGTTATCATGTAACATACATTATATACATGCATTATTATAATATTAATAATAATATTAATGTAATAATAATAATATACATTGGTTTTTACGTTCGTGTAATTCATATAATCGTTGTCGATCGTTGACCATCGTTGTAAGCTGTTAAGCTCCAATACATGGACGACGCGGCTGAAAATAACATTACATAGTTAATACGTTACAATATTATATAAAATATAATTTTTGTTTCTAAACAATATATTTTTAGTTTAAATGATACTATTTAGTTTCTAGTACAGTCATTTATTTCTACTTCACTATTTGAAAACCGAAAAACCCCTGAAAAACCGGTATTTTTTAATTTTTTTTTTTTTTTATTGGGGTTTCGGTTGGCTGGAACCCGATTGAGCAAGGTAGCAATCAAACAATAGGAACCAAAAAAAAAAAACCCAAAAACCACATGATTGAGCACGAAAATGGATGCGTTCCGAAATTGACCCTTTGTACCGTAGAATATTTTAATTATTCACCATTTTTTCTAATTCCAATAAATCTATACTTGAAAGCTCCAACATTAGCTAACTCTTTGCCTCTCTCAGATAAAATAATTTTTATTTTATTATTTTCCTAAGTTTCCTTCGCATGTTCCTCGTTTTTTGTCAATGTTATAGCTATATATTTTCTTCCATACTTTATGCTCAAAACTCTTCAATTTTTTCTTTTTCTATTTAGTCGTTCCTCAGACGTCAATCATTAGTGAAAGTTGATTTCATAATAATAAATAGTTTTAAGCACCACTATTTTATAATTAACCAAATCATTCAAATTTTAAATATTATTGTGTAATAATGTAATAAGACTAATATCTTATTACATTTTATAATTTCTACATTCACTTAGTCAATTTGTGACTATAGCATAAATAAATTTGGTTGAAATAATTAAATTTAACGTCCTAATATTTTTATTATTATAAATAACAATTAAATGATCAAAACATAAAATAATTTTCGATATTTAATTTAATTTTCATCACACACATTTCAGAAAAGATATTGGCTATTATGTTATCAACACTATACATACCATAGGAATAACTTTCTCCTATTCCATCCTTCTAAAATCAAGACGTATATTTGCGTTTTCTCTTTAAATCAGCCTTATCTCTTTTACTACTTAAACACTTATTGAATATTAGTTTTAATTTGTTCCTTTTTTTTCGTTGATGAAAGTAAAATGAAATATAAAGGATTACTAAAAATGTCCCTCTGTTCGGTTTGATAATAATCACAAGAAAAATATTTGCCAAAAATCCCTGATGATCAGTATAGCTTTCACTTCTCACTCTCCATCTCAATGATAATGTATACACTTTCGATTATTTATAATGCTTGAACAAATGTGAATAGTTTTTTGTAACTATGTTTACATATGCATCATTGATATTTATAATTATTCTTACATCACATTAGTTTCAACGAATTTTTATTATTTATATTTTTCGTCTAAATAAAAATAATAAGAATTTATCACATGCTAGTCACTATTTTATCTATCTATTAAAAAATGTAAAAAGTGATTATTTGATATTGAAATAAGTAAAAAAATATTTGTTTCTTTAATGTAAAGTAAAAATTAATTTTTATATTATTTAAAAGCTAATATTTTATATTTTTTTACTATTAATACTCAGAGTAAATAACCGAGTGGATTCATTCATTCAATTATTAATTAAGAATGATTTAATAATTCTCTCAAAAAATTATACTTTATATATAGACTAAAATAATTAAAATTTAACAAATACAATAAAGTAGAGTAAAAAATAGTTAAAATAACTAAATAATATTTTTTATATTGTAATAACTAAACATAACTTTTATGTTGTTGATTTTGATACTACATCAATTATAAAATAATAAGTTAATACTTACAACATATTTTATCATGTATATATTTTTAGATATAATTTATTTGTGGTACAGCCAAGTAGGAATTGTGTGTTGAAAGTTGAAAGTTCTACATTGGGT